CTCGCAGGGACTGCCCTGCTGTCACCGAGGCCTGCCCGGCAGCGTCCCAGGGGCGCCCTGGCCGGTTTGGGGTGAGCGGGGCAGCGCGGGAGACGTTCCTGCCCTGCCGCCATGCCTCCTGGAAAGGGTGGCAGGAAGGAAGCCTTGGTGCTGCAGTGCGAGTGGGAGGTTTGTTCCTACGTGGCCTCGAGGATGGAGGAGTTCTGTGAGCATGTGGCCCAGCACTTGCAGCAGCACCTTCCCAGGGAAAACCGGGACAAGGTGGACCCTCTCGGTAAGAAGTTACCGTCTTTGTTGTTTGTAGTGGGTCATAAGTCCTCTTCCTTCTCTGAGTTTCTTCACTGTGGGAAAAATGTCCTTTTCCTTAAGGAGAGTGGCTCTGCCGGTTGCGCAACTGGAATCTTATGGGGAAAAAAAAAAAAAAAGAATTTCTCAGCCTACTGGGATCTGAGCTTTATTTGGGAGAGTTTCCCAAAATTTTATACGCTGGTGTCTCCTGTTTGTGTTGCAGAGGAATACGCATGTCTGTGGCAGGAATGTGGTTTCTGTTCGCCAGAAAGCTCAGCTGACCTCATCCACCACGTCTATTTCCACTGCTACCACACCAAGCTGAAGCAGTGGGGGCTCCGGGCTCTGCAGAGCCAGTCAGACGTGAGCTACTGCCAGCTGGATTTCCAGAGCCGCAATATCATCCCTGAGATCCAGGATAACTTCCTATGTCTGTGGGAGTACTGTGAGGTCAGAGCAGGGGAGCCAGTTCTACTTTCCTAAGTGTTGTCTGTGACTTGGCAGTGAAGGGGAAGAGAGCTGCGCTTTCCTGCATGCCTGCATGTTTGCTGTGTTTGTGCCTGGGGGGAAGTGTCTGTTGTGCTCTGGCTGAGGCAGGCTCGCGCTGATCTCTTCACCCTGTTCCCTCTGTCCCCGCAGAGGTCGTTCGATAATCCTGAGTGGTTCTATCGGCATGTGGAGGATCACAGTTTCTGTTCTGAGTACAAAGCAGCAGGGAAGGAGAACCGTGTGGTCCTTTGTGGCTGGAAAGGTCAGTGGGAGCATGCAAGGCCTTTCCGGAGAGCTCTGCGTGGGGCTGGATTGTGAGGGCTGTACAGGAAAGCTCTGCTCTCTTTGGTAGGCTCTCAGAGAGCCCCTCTTACTTCAGGAGCATGTGTGTAGTGCTGACAGTGAAATGCTCCTGTACAGTTTCTTTCAGGGGATCCAATGGTCTATTTCATATTAAACTTCTAATTTATAGTTAATTAGTACGTAGGAGAAGAGGCTCTGGTTTACTTGTTAGAATAATTGCTCTCTTCTGAGTTTGTGCAGTTGTCATAGCCGCTTGTGGGGTGAGGGGACCCGTGCTGGGTGTAGACTAGTGTCCTGATCATTCTGTATCTGTGCTGCATGGGCTCTTTTGGAGCAGAGCTGGTCCTGGCACAGGCAAGCAAGCTACCTGCTGTTCAGTCAGGTTGTGGAGCCTGAGACTCCTCTGTGGCCTGTCATAGGATGGAACAGACTCGGTAACTTTGTGAAGGATCCTAACGGTGTTCTGTTGTTTGTGTTCAGACTGTGATTGCACCTTCAAAGGGCGCTGCAAGCTGCGGGAGCACCTGCGCAGCCACACGCAGGAGAAGGTGGTGGCCTGTCCTACCTGCGGGGGGATGTTTGCCAACAACACCAAGTTCTTTGACCACATCCGTCGGCAGACCGCACTGGACCGTAAGCTCCTGCAGGCCCAGGGAGGAGTGGGTTGTAAGCAGGCGTGCTGGATTCCCTTGTGCTGTGTTGGAGAAGTGTGTTGCGTTTGCGACGGTTGCTCCCCGGTTCCTGCTACATTGGCAGCACAGGGCAAGCTGCAAGGGTGGAAGACAGATTGATCCTTAAAAGTGGTTTTATGTTTTGGCTTTGTGGTTAGTGTCTGCTGACTCTGGTTGCAGAGAAAGGGTCAGCCGAGCTGGGGACCCTTCTTCTTTTTTTCTTT